CAGCAACATCTTGGCCACCTCGTAGTAGGCGCGGTTGACCCTGGTGAGGACCGCGGGCCAGCCAACCTCGCAGGATGCGAGGAGCTCGGCCCCGAACAGGGCCGCCGATTCGACCCTGGCCGGGACTTGCGTGAGCTGAAGCGGGACGCCGAATCCGCTGTCCGCCATGGCCGCAATCAACCGGCGGGCACCCGCCAAAAGCTTGGCGCACGTCCGGTCCAAGAGGGGGCGAAGGCTGAGCGCGTTGTCGATGGGCGTGCCGAGAACATCCAGCGAGGCCACGGCCCGGAACGCCTCCCCCGCGATGGCGCCGCACGCGGCGGCGTCGGGGTCAGCCCCGGCCACCGCCATCACCGCGGGCCCCTTGCTCGCCCCGCCCTGAAACCGGTGGCGCCAGCGCGTGCACCAGGCGGAGAGCGCCTCCGCCACCGCCGCCACCTCGGGGTCCGTCTCTCTGGCGATGAAGGAGTCGTCGACGAATTGGAGCATGGAGAAGGACAGCGCGCCGGCCTCGGACGCGGGCGGCCCGAGCGCCACACCGGGGCCAGCCCCCACGCCCGCGTCGATGAGCCCCCGTACCAGGACCCCGAAAAGGTGGACACCAGCCCTGCGCCCCTGGCCGACGCCGAAATCAGCCACCTGGAACGCCGCTGCCGCCAGGGCGCCCAGGCGGACACGCACCTGCTCGGGCCCCAGCGAAGAGTCCGCCGCGACCCACCACCGCCCCCGAACCCCCGCGAGCCAAAGGCCGAGGCGCACGGCGTCCCGCCAGGCGAGGTCGAACCCGTGCAGCAGGTCTGCCTTGGCCAGGACCGTCCTGAGGCCGGCCGCACGCCGGAGCTGCAGCAGCATTAGCAGCCCCCCCGTCATCAGCACGGCGTCGAAACGCCCGCCCGCTTGGGGGGCGCCGGCGAAGGCCTCCAGGTGGCCGCGGGTCACCTCCAGCCACGCGGCGTCGAAGAAGCCCTCGAGGTCATCTACGTAGGAGACGGGTCGGAGATTCCCCAGGGCCCTGACGACCGGGGGGCCGCGCTTGCGGATCGGGGCCACCTCGCGCGCCCACAGCGAGGCGGTGAGGCCCGTGGCCATGGCCAGGTTCAGGATCGCCCACGTGACCAGACCCGCCGGCCCAGTGACTGCTCGGGCCACCCCGCGCGGGAAGCGCATCGAAGCCTTTCGGAGACGTGCGTGCCGCACCACCCTGTCCACCAGCGCCGGCTCGAAGGCATCCCCGCTCTCCTCGGCGGTCTCCCCGAGCGAGGCGCGCCGCGCCTCTCTCACAGCACGGGCCACGTCGTCGTTGAGGGCTGGGACCCCTGGTCCAGCGGCCCGCCCTCGTTCCAGCACGTTGCGCGAGACGGCCGCCAAGGTCTCCGCGGGGCCGAGCCGGGCGCCCGAATCCTCGTCGACTAAGGCGAGGGTCAATGGCGCGCGCGGGCGGAGCAGCGCACTGAGGAAAGCCTCGGCCTCGCCGGGCGCCGCCGCCGCCAGACGCAAATATCGGCGCATCTGCCTGGCCCGCGCGTCCGCGAGCGCTCCGAGGGTCGCGGCAGCGGCGCCGCCCGGACCTTCCTCCGCCGGGGGGGGCGGGGGGCCGGCCCGCGGGGGCCTGGCGAGGCCTGCCCTGGTCGGGCGCCTCGGCCATCGGACCGCCACGAGCCCGCTCAAATGCCCCCGGATGGCGACAACCACGGCCCGCCACCACACTGCATGGTCCAGCGCTGCCTGCCGCGCGCCGCGCCACTGCCCCGCCGCGAGCCAGGCGCGGATGGTCGGGTCCCGGGAAGCGACCGCAGCCCAGCCGGCGATGAAGGCCAGCGACGCCGCGGCGCCGGCCAACGCGCCCGCCCACCTCGCGCGCGGCATCTCGGACCCCAGAGTTGCGACATTGTCTCGGGCGAAACGTGCTGCGAGGAAGTCTCAGGCGAAACGGGCCAGACCACCTCGAGCGCGGCGTCTCAGAGCTCCGAGTTGCGGGGGCCTCCTGGGGCCTCCTGCTACATTTGTGAAATTCGGTGCCACCCCTCACGCAGATCAACGGGGTCAGGGTCCAAAAACATAAGGGATTTGCCCCGCGCCACCGCGCCCGGCCAATGTTCGGCGCCTCGTCCACCCGCATCTGCCCGGGCAAGCGGGCGAGCAGGAGGGCGTGGTCCGCGGGGACACCAGGCGCGCCCGGCGGGATGACCTCCACCGCCGCTTGCAGGTCCTGCGACGTTGCGACCCAGTCGATGGCCGTGCCCGATGCGTGCGTGGGCGTGGCCCGCGGGTTGCGGATCACGGCGTCGAACCCTTCCGTGGCCCGCAAGAGCTCCCGGACGTGACGCTCCAAGGGCCCCTCGTAGCGCTCGCTCGCTGGGGCCAAGTCTGCGAAGTGCAGGTTGGCGTCACCCAGGATCGCCAGGGACCACCCTCGGAATTGGGGCTGGAGGGCCAGCCTCCGCCACTCCATCAACCGCGCGTCCCAGAATTGTCGTCGGGCCAGGGCTCCGTGCGCTGGCGGCGGCCCATAAGCCGCGAGGACGAGGACGCCGCCGCCCTTAGCCCCCGGGAGCGGCAGCCAGATCGCCCGCTCGTCGCCCACATCGGCCACGGGGGCGGTCGTTTCGCCGAGCGACTCGTGGACCAGCACGGCAACTGTGCCCGGGGACGAGGACCGCTCGCCATAGAAGGCGTAACCCGCGTCTGGCCAACGCGCGCCAGGCCCGAGTCGGGGCTCCGCGATGGCCGCCGCCGCTACCTGCGCTGCTCGAAGCCGCTCGAGCACCGAAACGATCCGGGCCTCCTGGGCGCCCACGCCCCCGCGCGCGCCAAAGCCCCCCTGCACGTTGAGCGCCGCCAGGACTCTCGGCGCGGCGCGCGCCGCCCGGGGCGCGGCCACGCACTCCTGCACCGGTAGAGCGCCCTCCCAAGCTCCATGAACGCGCCCCGAGAGTGCCCCATGCCCGCCCAGCTCCAGCCGCGCGCGCCAGTTCTGAAGGGTCGTCGCCAGCGCCGTGTCGAACGTTCGCCACGTCCCCAAGCCGCCCTGCACCAACGCGCGCGCAACCGGGCCTCCCGGCGGGCCTGTGGGGAAAATTGGCCGGGCCGCCTGGAGCGCCCGGACGTCCCGCAAGAAGGACGCTGCTGCCTCGCGGCGTCGCCCACCCTCTCCGGGGACGTCGGCCGCCTCCCAGCCGCGCGCCTCAGCGGCCGCCGCCGCGGCCGCCTCGCCCGTCGCCCAGGCCGCGAGCGCCGGGGTGCCAGGCTGCGCCATGCCGGGCGGTCGCGGCCGGCCAGCCGCCGCGGCCGCGGCGCACGAGAGCCAAAAATTGCCACGGCAGGAGCGGTTGGGGGGAGGGAAGCGGGGCGGGGGAGGGGGGGAGGCGTGAGGGAGGCAGAGGGGGGAGGGAGGGAGGGAGGGCGAGGGGAGGCGCGGGGAGAGGAGCGTCGGGGCAGAGCGTGGGCTGCCCTGGGCACGACGGGGAGGAGCCGGGGGGGAACGGAAGCGGGGGTGGGGGAGGGCGGGGCGTGAGGGAGAGGCAGGGCACAGGTAGAGAGGGGAGGGAGGGAGGGAGGCGAGGGGAGGCGTAGGGGTAGAAGCGTCAAGGGAGGAAGGCGAGGGTGGAGACAGGGGGAGGGGGGGAGGGCGGAAGAACGACATGGAGATGGGACAGGTCGGTCAAGTGGGGGCGGGGAAGACGCCCCGCCTTATCCTCTTCCTCCGCAACTTTGTCGTCATCATTTTCCTTCCCTGCTGTAGGACTCTGTAGGCCAGTACGGAAATGAGGCCACGGTAAAGCGACATTCCAGCTGTCGGCTGGCGGAGTTCTTGTGGCTGGCGTGTGAGCACTGCCCTCTTGCACAGGGCCTCGAGCTACTACGATTTCGCAAGAGATTCACACCTGCGCCGCATACAGGCGCGCCACCCGTGCAGGCGCCAGCATACAGGCGACCATCGAGTGCGAATGCCACTGGGGTCGTGGGGGTGAAAGCACTTCTATGAACTTGAGATCCATTGCAACTCTCGGCGCGCGCAACAGACTGATTGCCCTCGGGCATGTTTCTGGACTGCGCGGATGCTGCATTGGACAACCGCGTGGCGCATCGCCATCGAACCGCTGCAGACCTGCCAAAGGGTACCCCTGACATACCCAAGCGCCGCGACATCATACACTGTGGTGTGGGGCGCGGATGAGGGATCGTCGGACAAGGAATCCAGAGTCTCGCCGTGGCCGACACAACGAGACCCCTGCAAACCGTCACGGGACACAAGAATTTGCACCGCCTCATCGCCCTCTGGGCACGCGTCGACCACCCGCGGGCTGGATCACCCAGGAGGAAGAGGAGGAGGAGGAGGAGGAGGAGGAGAAGGAGGAGGAGGAGGAGAAAGAGGAGGAGGATGAGGAGGAGGAGGATGTGGAGGAGGAGGAGGAGAAGGAGGAGGGAGGAGGAGGAGGAGGAGGAGGAGGAGGAGGAGGACGGAGGGAGGGGAGGAGGGAGGCAGGGAGGGAGGGAGGAAGGGGGAGGGAGGAGAGGAGGAGGAGGAGGAGGAGGAGGAGGAGGAGGAGGAGGAGGAGGAGGAGGATGAGTCCAGCAGAGAGAACGACGGGGAGGTGGATAAGGAAGTTCCTGGTCACCACACGGTGGCCCGGTCCCGATGCCAGCTGCCCTGCCCTGATTATGTCTACGCCGTACTTTGGTTGATTTTCAAGCTTGCAGCTGTGGCGGATATGCACCCCAAACGATGCGTCAAACTAGGGCGGACAATTCCGCGTTGGAAGAGCAGGGCGGCTGTTTTCCAGTGAAGTATGGCGAAAGAAGCGACGGCAAAGCAGGGCGGATACCGGCATAAAAGGAGCCTGAGAAACAGGCCGCGAAATCCCGCACGGTTTATGAAACCGCCCAAAGTAGGGTGGACCCGGAGTCAGGGGGACCAGCCGTGCTGCCGCTCGGCTCGGGGTGCCACCCTGCAGATGCCAGAATGTAGCGTGCCCCCATCAGTGCGGCTGCACATTTTTTTGGTCGGGCGACTACGCTGGCACAGTCGGGCAGTAGCTCTGCTGCTCTCGCACAGCCGCTAGAAGCTTCCGTACTCACTTGCCGCCTCAGCTTGCCTCCTGGCCGCTCCGACGCCCCCACGAGCTGTTCAGCGAGTGAGCACGGCTCCGACGTCAGGGGCGCTGCCCGCTCCTCCTCCTCCTCCTCCTCCTCCTCCTCCTCCTCCTCCTCCTCCTCCTCCTCCTCCTCCTCCTCCGTTCTGTGCTGCGTCCTGCGTCCTGCGTCCTGCGTCCTCCTCCTCCTCCTCCTCCTCCTCCTCCTCCTCCTCCTCCTCCTCCTCCTGTCGGTCAGGCGATGTTTTGTCCCAATCCGAACGTTTCTCACTTTCGGATCGGGGCTATGCTCACGTCGTTCAGAATGGCGCTCTCGCCCCAACGTGGACCACTTTTCTGGATCCGGGTCCTTCCTCGCCGTTGTGGCCCCCCTCCTTTCCCCTCCTCCGGTTTCCTCTGGTCTTCCTGCTCCGCCTGCTCCTTCCAGTCCAATGCCTGCTGCTGCTGCTGTTCGCCCTCGTCCTCCTCCTTCCTCGTCCTCATCTTTTCGTCCTGCTCATCCCCCGCCTGCTCCTCCACCTCCTCCTCCTCCTCCTCCTCCTCCTCCAACGCATGCAGCCCCCCCCTGGTAATTGTTTTTCGCCATGTCCGCTGTGACACGCGTCCGCAGACAGAGAAACAAACACACAGCAGTGGGACGAGATGGGTGGGGGTGGGGTGATAGGATGAAGGATACTCTGGATTTCTGGGTCAACCTCGCCTCGTCGTCGCGCTGCGACGAGGGTCGGAGCGCCTTCGGCGCGCGGTGGCTGCCCGCAACGGGGGTCGATGTGGGGCTGTCGGCGGGGGTGACGCCCCCCCCCCACGCTTATTAAGAAGCTCGGAGTATGGCGCGAGCGAACCTGGTTTGTCTCCACCCTCCACCGTCCGCCCTGCCCCCCGCCTCTCCGCTGCGCCCCCGTACTCCGCTCGAGGGCGCCAGACGCGATCAGAGGCCGCAAGCCTCCGCCCAGGCCGGCCCGATCGCTCCGCCCAGGCTGACCCGATCGATCGCTTCCCGCGATCACACCAAGCACACGGCGCGAAGACAACATCCGCCGCATCTTCGCCCGATTCCGGCTCGGACGACGGACGCGCGACGGAGAGGCCACGAGTAGTGTCATCCTATGGAGGGGGGAGGGGGCTGTTGATGGGGGAGTGGGGGGGCACGGGGGGGAAGGGGGGAGGGGGGGAGGAAGGGCGAGGGGGACGGGAGAGGGGGGAGAGGATGAGGGAGGGAGCCCAGATATGCGATGCCTCATTTTTCCCAGTGCGCGGTCGCTGGAAGTCCCCGATCCGTTCCCCAGGGCTGGCTTTTCATCCCGCAACGTTTTTTGAAGGTCCCAGGGCCCCGCGAGAACCACTGGACACCGAAAATTGCAACATTAACAAAAACAAAAAAAACGCTCGTCGTGATTTTGTCACGACGCGAGCATAGAGGGGCACCCATCACGTCGGCGGGGTGCTGTGTTTGCAAAGCCACCCGCCGCTCAGGCCAAGCTGCGCGCCCAGCAGGGTCGACCCAAGACCGCGCGGTCGCAGCGCGGCCCGCCCAATAAGAGGGGAGGAGGAGGAGGATGAGGAGGATGAGGAGGAGGAGGCGGAGGAGGAGGAGGAAGAGAAGGAGGAGGGGGAGGAGGAGGAGGAGGAGGAGGAGGAGGAGAAGTCATAAACTCTCAGTTGAGCGTGTATGGGACGCCATTCCATTCTGCCACCAGTCGTGGTGCCCGAGGTATTGAGGGGGAGGTATGGAAGAGATGTGAAGAGGGGAGGGCTGATGGTGGAAGGAGGACGTGCGAGTTGACCGCTGAGTGCGTGTTGACCGCCAGAGCTATGCTTCACCGAGTTTCTGAGCAGTATCTTGATCATCACCTTGATGTCGCGGTGTATGATCGAGCGCACCAACGCCTGAGACGAACACAGGCTGAATGTAGCCCCGCTCCTCGGTCCGCTCCGCCTGCATTGTTCTGGCACGTGAAGCAAGTGGCCACCAGGACAGTCTATGGAATCGGCATCTTTCAGTTGATCTGCGTGCATGGGAGGCCGCTTTTGCACGTCACCAGTCGTGGTACCCTATGCATAGCGGGGGAGGTATGGAGTAGGACGTACACACACATATATATATATATATATATATATATATGTGTGTGTACGTCTGTGTTGTAGGGAGGAGCACTCCCAGCGTCGATAGGCCACGCAGTCCAACATGCACCTGATTGTTCAACGCACCTGTTAGGGCATCGTATCTTTGGCTCTGCACTGAGCGACTGGTAGTCGCTGACTGTCTTGGGACGGCGGCTGAGGGTGGGAGGTAGTGAGGTGGTGGAGGAGACCAGCATCATTACCAATACAATCTACAAGCCATGACATGGCAAGCCTACTACATGCTAAACCCACTACTTGTCACAAATAGTTAGTGCCAAACCCGAGACAAGATGGGGAACAACGCGCAGGTCCCGGGGCCGAGAAGGTTCGGGCCGAGGAGGTAGCAGCCCAAGAACTGCCACAGGCGCCTGCACTGCCTTCGGCCGGCTAGCCCAGTCTGTGCCAGCCCCGCTGTCACGTTGCACGTGATTTGCGCTGTACTGCCAACCTCGATTAAACATGGTGGGAAGGGGGCCGATGATGAGATGGGCGAGGAGGAGGAGGAGGTTCCTTGCTTCGCCTGCCTGCAGCATACTCTGGGTTCTTTACGGTTCCATGATTCTGCAGCCGCGAGGCGCCGTCCTTTCTTCCGCACAGGGCAGAGGCCTGCCGCTATGTGTTCCACAACTGACGCGACAAGCTTGCTGTTCAGGCCCGATCCGCGTCAAAAAAGAGAGGAGTCATAACAAGGGGGAGCTGAAACACAACAAGCCCAGAAGAGGGGGCCATGGCCATGGCAGAAGCGAAGCGGCAATGCAGCGCAGCAAGCAGGCTGAACAGACCGTTTCTGGTTGAGCCCGTTTCTATCGACTCGCCCGTTCTGAGCCGAAAGGAACAGCCCACGCCAATGGTAAGACACCCGAGCAGAGCAAAAACAACTTCGGGGCGCATCCTCGAGCCCAACTTGATACTTACACCGAGACGCCCCCACACCAGCATCTTACGAGACCTCTAGGGGTCAACTGCTGAGAGTGCACCTGCCCTCCCCGTGGCACCCTCCTTCCATCCTCCCCCCTGCTCCCCTCCTTGCCCCCCTCGCCACCCCATCCTCCCCTTCTCTTGGTCCCCGCCCCCCTACACAGCCGGGGAACAAATTATAACAAAATCCACAAGGCGATCATCTTGAATGGTCTATAGACGGCAATGCCCGAAGAGGATCATTAAGTGAGACTCTCCTTTCAATGTTGGCAGCGTGCGCAAGCGCGCACCATGGGCCACCTCATCGATATGATTTGCTTTGGCTTGCGCGTCCGGTGGCAACATTGGGAGGTGAATGCCACTTAACGCCCGGGTGTTCTTCCAAGTTCATCCTTCACCCTTCACAAGGCCGCCGGCGTGGGCGGTCCCACGTTTTGCCATGCGCCTTCGTTCCCACAATCGGACGGCTGACATGCAACGCGCGGTGCAGACGAGACGTTCTTCCGTAACGTTGACAGGTGGACGTCGCTTGATGCGACGGGCCCCGCCTGGCCTGATTCAACATCGTTTTGGCTTACATCCCTGTGCCACTTTTGTGATACACTTTTTTCACGGGGATGTAGTCTCCCCCAACCCCCTCCCGCAAATTTCCTGGCGGGGAGACGGAGGCAGAAGGGGAGCGGGGTGGGTTGGGGGGAACAGAACAGACAGAGCGAGAGAGAGAGAGGGGGGGGAGGAGGAGGGGGCGGGAAAAACGAGAGGAGAAAGGAGGGAGAGGAGGCGGAGGGGAGAGGGGGACAGCGAAGAGAAAGGAGAGGGCAGGGCGGAACGGCGAGGGGCCGGGGGGGGAAACTTGCGAGGGCGAGGGGGGCGCAGGAGGTCGACCGCAGGGCTCTCTATCGGCGCTTCGCGCGGGCAAATCCCGCGCACTGCTCGGCACGGTCAGACCGTATGGTAGGGATGCGCGGCGAGGGTGCAGGGGGCCTTGGAGGGCCATGCTGACGTTTTCCGAACGAGGCTGGCCGGCGAAAGTCGGTCGCTAAGGATGGGCCGAAGGGGCAAGGATGCAAGGGCACCCTTTGGAAGGTCGCCCGTCCTTCATGTGCAGGTGGACTGTGCCCAGCATCGTGCAGCCGATCACCGTCCCCATCCCCATCCCCATCCCGATCCCCACCGTCCCACCGCCCCAGGTGGAGATGTGCCCCTCGAAACTCGAAGGCAGCAGCCCACATCCCCGTCCAGAGGGGGTGCATCGGCCAGCAGGGCCCCCGGCCACGCCCGTGGGGACAGAAGCCGTCAGACGATGCTCTTCTGTGAGTATCGTTTAACCGATCCACATCCCTAGCGGCGTGGCCTGAGCCCCACTGGCCGATTCATCCACCTAGATGGGGATATAGGTCGTTCCCTTCGGGTTTCGACGGGTGTATCCCCAACTGGGGTGATAATTTGGTGGGCGTCTCGAAGGGAATGGGGATGGGGATGGGGATCTGATGGGATCTGTGAAACGATACCGAATCTGCGCGCCCAGCCAGATCGGGCCTCGCCGAGCCCGGGGCTGCAGCGTCGGCGGTTCCGATCCTCGGCGGCCAGGCGGGCCCCCCTCCCTCACCCCCCCAAAAAAAACTGCGGGAACGATGGGGAGGGACACGCCCGAGATCTGGGCGTCGGGGCTTCGCAAGCGGGGGTTTAGCTGAACGGGGGCTTAGGCCTTTCCGTGTGCCCCCGCTTGCTGTGCCCCCGTGTGCGGCGCCCAGGGCCCCCGGAACGGGGGCACCGCCAAACGTGGAAACCGGCGTTCCCCGTGCCCCCGTTGGCTGTGCCCCCGTCTCTGGCGCCCGGAGGGCGTTGCAATTTTCTCGCGCCGGGTGTTCTCGCCCGGTGTCGGGCCCTGGGGCCATCGCTGATCGACCTGGCCTGGAACATGCAGCAGGAAGACAGGATCCAGGGCTCTGGCCGTGATCGCAAGGAAGAGAGGAGGGGGAGGAGGGAGGGGGAAGCAGGAGGGACAAGAGAGGAGAGGGAAGGAGAAGCCATCTTTCTCTCGGAAAAGATGTGCTCCCCTTCTGAGAGTCCTTTCGGGTAGGGCACAAGGATTCCCAAAGGGAATTCCAGGACTTCTTCGTTCCCGTGGTGAGACCTCATCAAGTTACTTGAGGGAGTCTTCAAGAAACTATGAGATCCACGCTTTCTTCAACACATCCTCAAAAAGCCCGACGTAGTCCCTTGGTTTCCTGAAAAAGTCCTCTGGGCATCCGCAAGAAATCGTGATGCCTCCCCCATGTATCCTCTGGAGTCCTCGGGGTCCAATATTTCCTGACGGGCTCATCAGCTGTCCAGAAGAAGTCTCGAGAGTTCCTGAGACATGCATCCGGTGTTCTGTATGAGGCGCATCCTGGATGCAATCTAGCTTCCTTAAGGAATTCGCAAGAATTCCTGAAGTATCTGGGTGCATACATTGAGTTTCCAGGAAGATGCTCTAAGACGCCTGATGCATTCTTCTGGTGTCATAGAGAATGTCTTGGTTGCTTCCGATTCACTGGAACTCCCATGTAGATTCCTCAGGACACCTAGGGAAACCTTCGGCTTCCTTGGACACCTCTTTCGCATATGAAGGAAATGCCTTTGATGCACGTCTCTGCTCCTGGGCTCCAATGCGACTTATTTGGGTTTCCTGGCGAACTCCTCAAGATTCTAAATTCTCTTTAGATTCCCAAGGCGCTCCTTAAATGTCACTCGGGCTTCCGAGGTGCCGCAGGTGAATGTTATCTCTTGGGTCCGTATCCCCATGGGAACTTCGCTGGGTTGCTCGGGCCTCCTTAGGCGCCCCAGATATTCCAAAAGAAATCCTGTGGATTCATCCCTCTGAGTTTCCTGAGGTTCCCGGAAGAATACCCCACGGCGCCACAGGGACATCGACAACAACGGAAAGGTTCAAACTCTCGAAGCTTTTCCCGAGAACCTCTGCGGCCAGTCCCGCACTAAAAAACCCTGCTGCCTCCTGAGTCCACGGACACGCTGCCGATACGATACCTTGGATACGGTACGATATGATAGCGTCAGTGGAACCACTGGCTAACGATTCTTATCCGCTGCCCACAATTGCCGCCCGCCTTGTCCAATTGAATGGCTCGCACGTAGGCTCGCGCTCGCAAGTTCAACGGATCGCAGGAGCATCGTGTGACCCATATGTGCATCGCCTACATCAAATACGGGTGGGCAGCTGCACTTACTGTAGATGATCGTCTACGCCTATCTCCACCGCCGACAAGACCTACGTAAGATTCCGAGACAAACGTTGCCTGGGTGGTCTGGGTCAAAATCCTTTCAATGTTTGCAACCTTCGCTGCCTGAAGGGGACGTATCAACATTATGGGCGGATGGCGCAACCTCATTTATGACTGTGTACTAGACAGACAGCTTGAACAAAACCCCTTTGGCTCCTTACCTCAGAGCTCCACTCAGAGAACGAACCGCTTATCTGGAGAGCACACCAGAATAGCCCTTCGCGGGGGGGAGGGTGCAGGGAGTCTTCGTCAGAGCGAAAAAGTTTCGCACATGTCCGCCACGCACATGCAATGACGCGGTGAAAACCGTGGAGCTTCAACGCTCCTGTACGCCCCAGGCTGGGTCCCTTCGCCCCCGCCCTCAAACCTTCCACGACGACCAAGAGAATCGAGGAGAGAGGAGATGAGGATGTGGATATCTGGTTCGCGCTGTTTCCTGTTTCCTGACAGCTCCTCGTTCTGACCAGGCTGGGAAGGAAGCCGCCAAAGGTCCTCCCTCGGAGCAGGGCGACTTGAGACAACGACATCTCAAGAGATCGGTCCCCATACCCCTCCCGGGGTCCAAACGCAACAATTTTCCGAGCTGCGTCCAGCCGTGGCGACGAGGGGCCCCCCCGAGGGCCACCCACCGTTGTCTCAACTCGCCCTCCTCGGATCCCCAGGCCCCGAGTCCTTGCTCGCGAATTCGTGCGCACTGGCCGCCTCGGTGGCCCAGGCAGCGCCGCGGCGCCCGGCAGGGTGTCCGGCTGGATCGAGGCGTACATTGACCCGTGCTGACCTTCATCTGCCGCGGCTGCCACCGCTGCTGCTGATGCTGCTCATCCAACTTCTCTTCTGCCCCACTTCCAGCGCCACTTCCACACACAGACACGCACACAGACACGCACACAGACACGCACCCACGCACGCACGCACGCACGCACGCACGCACGCACGCACGCACGCACGCACGCACGCACGCACACACACACGCACACACACACACACACACACGCTTTTGATCTGCGGGGCGAGAGCGAACCTCTTCCGCCAAAAGCTAGGCGGGCTACGCACAGCTTTAATTAGGGAGATAGGGTACAGGAAGGCGGCACACACACAAACACACACACACACACACACACGCGCTCTCATACGCGCACGGACACACACACACACTTACACGTACACTTACACGTACACTTACAAGTACACTTAAATATGCAATGCCAATTTCACTTGCACTCGCACTTACACTTATTATTTCACTTGCACTTCCTCTTGCGCGAAGACTTACACTTGCACTTACGCGCGCGCACACACACACTTGTTTGAGCGTCGCGGCTGCGCACGCAGCGACGCGGCGGAGACGGGCAGACGGGGCAAGAGGACGCGCGCGGATACACAAACACACGCGCACACACGCTCGAAATCGGGCCGAAACAGTGCGCGCACGCAAAAGTACACAAACACACACAGACACACTTTTTGGCGTCGCGGCCATGCGCGCAGCGACGCGGTGGAATCAGTCAGCTAGGAACACGGAGAATACCGCCGAGGCCTCAGAGAGCGCCCGACGTCTCATGCACCCCGAGCGAGGAACGCAAGGTACGCACAGGCAAATACAGGCACACACGCATACTTTTTTGGTGTCGCGGCCCTGCGCGCGACGACAGGGTGTAGAAAGTTGGACAACAACAAATCGCGCGCGCGTTTAGGCCCGCCCGAACACTCAGAGACCACTGCGGGCCTCGCAGCTGACGGCAGCCGGAACCATCTGGGCATGGATGGCGGGGGGCAACGGACAGACGAGACTACGGCGCGGTGGAGGGTGACATGAGCCAACCGAGACCGGAAGGCGGGGGGAGCGAGTAAGCAGAGTGGAGCGACAAGGTGGCCAAGGAAGGACCTGGAAGCATAGGCGGCGACGTACCGCAGAAAGGCCGCAGGCTGAGAAGCCGCGACAGCCGGCGAAGCCGGGCAACGCGCACACACGCACGCACGCACGCACGCACGCACGCACGCACGCACGCACGCACGCACGCACGCACGCACGCACGCACGCACGCACGCACGCAAGCACACACACACACACACGCACGCACGCACGCACGCACGCACGCAAGCACACACACAAACCTGAAGCTTTTCCCTGTCCTGCCCAGCGAGCAGCATCAAGTGTCCCTGGAGACAGCTATGTGTACAATCATTCTGGAAGCAATATCTGGCGGAACAATTTCGCACATTTGCACGCGTGAACGATTTTGCATGTAGGAATGTGTGTACGTGTGTGGGCATGTGCGTGTACGTGCAACCTTGCATGGTCGTGCGCATGCGCATGTGATATCACCACCAGGTCTCTGGTACAGAGTGGAATGGCGTCAGGAACGTGGCCGGGAATCCCCTCTCAAGCCCCGAGGCCTCCAACAGGCCCGCCTGAGGCCCCGGAGGGCCCCACGAGAGGCACACAAACATGGCACCGAAGAGGACGACCGCGAGAGGACCCCGAGAAAACTGTACGTGTCCCTCCCCGCCCCGAGTCGCCCCGAGGCCCCGAAGAAATCCCCATCCGAAGAAACCGCACTATTTGTTAGCATGCTCCTGGGCGCCCTCCGTTGGAGCCGCGTGTACGTGTAGACGACCACGCGTGCGTTTGCCGATGCATGAATGTGTGTTCCCGCCTGTGCCTGTGCACGTAAAAGCCTGTATTTGGGTACCTGCATTTGTGTACGTATGTTTGTGCGTCTTGCGTGTGTGTGTGTGTGCGTATATAAGCGCATATGCCCACGCTGATGCAACTCTGCTTAGCTCCGCCTTTTCTGTGAGAGACGTACCACCCACACAAAACTCGATTCCAAACAACTACGGGGATCGCGATTGGATCGTGCTCAAGATCCGACTTGGTCGAACGAGGCCGTGGACACCAATTGTACAACGATGAAGTGCACGGTGACTGGTGACTCAGAACCGATCGAAAACCCGTCACCACAGTGGTACAATGGATGTCCATGCCCCGCATTTTCGAGCTGACATTATCTTGCACTGGCAAGTGCGATGACTTACTTCAGTTTACAGCAAGCGGGTGCGCAGAGAGGGCAAAAATCATTCCCAGAGGTGCCCCCCAAAGTGTCCCCACCCTGCTCGATACGCATCCAAATAATGATGAAGGGGGTAGGTCCTTTACCCCCCCATTTTGAAACATTTTTTTGTTCAGTAGCCATCGCGCGGAACAAATCATGACTATCTTCTTTCTCCTCCTCACATGGACGTTACCAATCGTCCGAGCCAGCGCAGCACGGACAGGCGCCGTCAGGCATAAGCGACGCTTTCTATTGCCTGTTAGCTGCTGAAAGCAGTGGAAGCCGCAGTGCGCACAAACTCACAGCGACACATTGAGGAAGTGCATCCAAGACGGTGAGACGGTAAGCTGTCGACTGGAACTAGAAGCACGCTGGACTGAAGAAAACACGCAAGCGCCTGAAGCTGGCGAGACGCCCTGTACCGGGTGCAACTAATAGTCGCAACATCCGTCTGTCAGCACAAGCATCGAACCAAGCCAGGACACGACAACGGAACAAAGGCAGCTGCCGGAACAACGGAACAACGACCCGCCATTTTGCAGCATTACAGCCAGCGGCCCGATGACTGCAATCTCACTCGACACCTAGTGGGCCAGTACATGGACAACATATTCGAACCCTTACGCATGTGATGGGGATGCTGAACACCCCCCGCCTCCCTGGAGTTCATGCTGATTTCAACGTGAGTGATGGCTTGGGGTTCGAATATTTTTTTTACCACTCAAACCGCCCCCACTGGCGCATCCTCAATATCATCATTTGGGGGATCCAGGGAGGGCATCCTGCGACGCCGGGCTCGGACTGACTTGCTCACCTGTGGGCCCCAGCCCGCCCACGTCCAACGGACAGCAGCCGGCAAACTGCAGAGTGGAGCACGGCCATCCACTGCGGGCTTCCGACGCCATGACGAGCAAAGTCGCGCGCAGGTGCACCACGGCTGGCGGCCGACGCTTCGGCTCACGGAGCTGGCGCCCTTCGGCAGTAGAGGGACCCCTTCTCCTACGAATTCAAGGTTTGCGCGCGCGGAGAGAAGACTGCGCGCATCTCCTGGAACCCACCACCAACTTTGATCATTGGGGGGGGCATTGACAGATGAATGTGGCATGTGTGTTCGCTGATGTCTTCCGAGGCCTGTTGGCTGGCCGTTGAGCTGGTGGTTCACACAGCTTGTGCCCTCTGGCGAATGGCAACTTGTTTAGAAGCAGTCGCTCCTCGGACTCCGACGCGACGCTCCCGTCAAAAGGGCTGTCGCGCCGAAACCTGTCATCAATCCACAGTGCAAGGCATACTGCTCAAAATCGGCATTGTGAAACATTTCACGGCAAACGTGGAAACGCTGAGCATAAGGAGCCGTGTTCGTCATTTACGTGCACTAACACATGCCCTGCGGCGGGCACCACAGTTAGCAAAACTTACTGTGCCGTTATACGACATAGCCCAATGTTTGACAGGCTGGCGCAGCGAAGATCGGAGATGCGGGCGCGCGTAGCGCGACTGCCACGGGTCGCCCCGTTAGAGGCTCGCATCCTGGTACAATGTGACGGGGAGATGCTGTACCAGCGGGTGCGCTGGCAACCTCGGGTGTGTACCTTCGATTGAGTGAATGCTATTGGGCCAGACGAGATAGCGGCTCGAAAACGACAAACCACGTGGACGTTCATGTTCGAAACGATAGGAACGGCTTCGAAATAGTATGATCAAATCGAATATTCGTGCGGGACTTCCTCGGACATATAACTTGGAACCAGGTTCGAAACATGTTCGAAACAACGACTTGCGCTGGACGCCCCCTCAAAACAGGCGCGTGCGCCCTATTCGAAACAACCACAAACATATCGTTTCGGCGCTTGTTCCCTTCGCACACAACACACGCAGCCTCAAGACACAGTGCCCTTGCGAATCTATCGTAGGTAGCCTTTTCGGCAAAGTTGGGCCAAACTTTGATCACGCCTGTGAAATGGCAGTCGATCGCCCAGAAGGGACTGAAGCATGTGGATGATGCACAAGAAAGAGCGAGCGCATGCAGCCAAAGGTTGAACATCTGACAGTGCCTGCGCATTCCGGATTCGCAGAGCATGGTGTGTCCGGCAAGCGACAGTGACCTTCGGGATTGGCAGCGTCGAGTTACATGGGACACACGAAAGCCGTGGTAGCAGTTGGAAGGGATAGAAAAGAGAGAGAGAGAGAGAGAGAGATATGAAGAGACAAAAAACATACTCGGAATCTGGCAAGGAAGGGGAAGCAAGCGGGCTAATCGAATGAAAGACGCAAGAGAAGGCCGACACATAATAAGACAAAAGAGGGGGTCCTGGGCATCGGCTGTGAGGGGGCGGCGACCGCATTGCCAGCCTGTTGCTTGGTCTGAAAATCTCTCTCTCTCTCTCTCTATCTCTCTCTCTCTCTCACTCTCTCTCGCTTCCTTACTGCCTGCCTCTCTCTGTCTGTCTGTCTGTCTGTCTGTCTGTCTGTCTGTCTGTCTGTCTGTCTGTCTGTCTATATATCCATGTCTGTATTTGTATATGAGTCACTCTATGCATATGCACATGTATATGTATGTGTATGTATATGCATGCCTGTGTAAGTGTGTGCAGGTGTATCCATACATATACATACATATACACACAACCACAAACATTCATACACACACACACACATATGTCATACATGCATACATACAAACACGCATACATACATACATACATCCATACATCCATCCATCCATACATACATACCTGCACACGTACACACATGCATACATATACACATACATTATATACACATAAGCCACCGTACCTGCACAGAGTGGGCGTGTTAGACATTGCGCGTGTTGTCTGGGAAGTTTGTACAACGCTTTACAGGGCCGCCCCCCGCCCCCCTCGACGCACGCGCCCCTAACAAACCGCGCCCTCTGAGATTGTGGTTTGGCAATCTTTTCGGCCTCGAGACGGCCAAGATGGCCTACAAGATGGCCCCCAAGACAGCCAAGACGAAACCAAACGGCTCAAATTTACCGGCCAGGATAACTCAAAAGCCTATCAAGGCAACCCCACGGCGACTTTAGCCCAATTGGGCCTCAAAGACAGCCCAAGAGGCCCCCAAGATTGCCCAAAAGAGCTCCAATAAGCATTCCCGGAGAGCCCGAGGGGGGCCAGCGACGTTGATTCCCATTAGGTGTTTGGCAGATTTTGAAGTTCTCGCCTGTTCGGGTTTCCGACCGCCTACGACTGCCCAGGAGGCTTCCAAAGTACCTCCAAGACAGCCCCTAGGCAGCCCAAGAGGCCCCCAAGAGGGACCCAAGTCGGGCCAAGATGACCCAGCGATCGGCCAACAGGCTCCCAAGAGGGCCCCCAGACGGCCTTGAAGCGCTCCAGGAGAGCAACAAGGCTGCCCAGAGAAGCCTCTTGGGCTGTCGTGGGCGGTCGGAAACCCAAACATGCCAGAACTTCAGAATCCTTCAACCACCAAAGGGCGATCAATGGTTTGGGCCTCCTCGGGCTCTCCTGGACGGCCTCTCGGGGACCTCTCGGGCCGCCTTGGGGGGCTCTTAACACGACGTGAGGCATTCTTGGGAGCCTCATGGCCTCCAGGACTGCTTTCAAGGCAGCCAAGCTGACACACAGATGACCCAAGACGGCTCAAGAGGCCCCCAATGCAGCCTCAAGGCAGGCCACGAAGCCCCCAAGACTGCCCAAGAGGGCTCCAAGAGGCCCCCCGAGGGAGCCCGAGCCACAACCATTGATGTTGCTCAGGTGTTTGAAGGATTTTGAGGTTTTCGCCTGCTCGGGTCCCCAACCGCACAAGGCGGCCCAAGAAGCCTCCAAGAGGCCTCCAATATGGATCCAAGACAGCCCAAGAGACCCCCAAGAGGGCCTCAAGTCGGCCCAAAAAGGTCCAAAGATCGCCCAAGGGGCTCCCGAGAGGGCCCCACGACGGCCGTGAACAGCTCCAAGAGGGCGCCAATACGGCCTAGAGGCCCCTGAGGCGGCCTCCATAGGCGTCAGACGGGCCAAGGGTCCCCTGAGACGGCCCCAGAAGCCCCAAGAGGCCACCAAGAGGCCCCCAAGAGGCCCCCTCCTCCTTCTCCTCCTCCTGCTCCTCCTCCTCCTGCTCCTCCTGCTCCTCCTCCCTACCGCGCGGACGAAGACGAGGTCGAGTTCACGGACCGTCCCAGTTCAGACCAATCGTCGAAATTGCGTTGTTCCTATACGCAGTCGCCTTCCTGCAGCGCTGTTGCACAGGCACGGTGACGGAGCTTGTCACCGGCAGAGTGGGTGGTTATGTGGTTGTAAGCATATACACATACAGGTGTATGTATGCGTATATATCTATATAACCAAAGCAAAAGTTCCTTCAACTTGCCATGCTGATGATATCTCCGATACCTCTGAATATTCCTAGGATGACATGAAACTGCGTCATTCGGCGGAGTAGCTTTCGATCCGCTTAATGATTACAACTCTGTTACCCCAAAACCGGATTGGAAACGGAAGCTGCTCCACTCCGCGGGATGCGCCCACGCGCGGAGTAGTTGGAGTACTTATATTCCGAACTATCCCATGCTCATGCGCTATTGGCGAAGGCAGGTTGAAAGAAACTTTCGTCACGGTGATGTGGAATATCGCAGTCCGCCCCGTCTGTCACGGTTTCATCCAGCCAGGGCCCAATGTCACATCGATGGTGATGGCGATGAAGATGGTCATGACGGCAATTATGACGATGATGGTCATGGCGACGCTCGCGATGGCGATGATCACGCGACCGCTGCCACTGGGGCCGTTGGAGGAGCCCCCTGTGGGGCCGCTGCAGAGAATTAGTTGTCGCTTGCTGGTAACCTGGACTTGCACTTGCTCTAGACATGCGTTTCGAGGGAAAAAAGCCAAAACTGCAACGGGGAAATCGCAGTCCGTGCCGTCTTCGATGGCTTCATCTGGTCAGGGCCCGATGTCACATCGATGGTGATGGCGATGAAGATGATGGTCATGACGGCACTTATGACGATGATGGTCTTAGCGATGCTCGCGATGGCGACGATCACGCGAGCGCTGCCACTGGGGCCGTTGGAGGAGCCCCCTGTGGGGCCGCTGCAGACAATTACAAGTCGCGTCACAATTAACGTCACAAATTCGTAGGCCCGACTCGAGGGATTACTCCGCACTGGTCACCACATACGTCTTACCCCTGAACCTCCGCCCAATCCCCCTCCGCTTCCCCCTGCTTATCCTCCTCCTCCTCCATCCATCCACCCTCCTGCCATGTAGCCTCCTTCCATCCTCCTCCAGCCTTCATCCATCCACCCTCCATCTGGCCATCCAGCGCCCCCCCATGCAGCGTCCAGCCGCCCTCCACCAGTCCAAACATCCACCCCTTTATCCGTCCTCCTATCCGCCACCCTTCTTCCACTCAGCCTCACTCCAACCAAAGTCCATCCATCCATCCTCCATCAAGCCTCCCTCTTCCAACCCCCACCCCTCCCTCCATCCAACGTGCATCCATCCAGACTCCCTCCTGCCTACCTCATTCCATCCAGCCTCCTGCCAATCAGCCTTTCTCCATCTTCCCTCCATCGAGCATCCCTGTGCCCTCACCCTCCCCTCCCTCCATCCAGGCCGCCTCCATCCAGGCTCCTCCGCCAGCCTCCCTCCATGCCTCCATCCTTCCTTCCATCCATCCCCCCTCCATGCAGGTACAATCCGCGCACCAATACATCATGGGCGCCTCCATCCCTCCTTCGACTCGTAGTCACGTCAAGGCAGATAGTATCTTCATCCCCTGTATCCTCTTATCCTTCTCCTTCCACCTCCTCCTCTCCTCATCCTGGCTCTTCCTCCTCCCTCCTCGTCCTCCTCGTCATATGTATTGTCATCGTCCTCCTCCTCATCATCATCATCCTCCTCTTGTTCCTCCTCCTCCTCGTCAGAATCATCAACGGTATCATGATGAGCATGAGCATCATCAGCAGCAGCATCAGTACCAGCATCATCAAAATCGTTATCATCATCATCATCATCAGCCGCATCATCATCATCACCGCCAGCATTACCACTACAAACCGGATCACCAACAACATCATCAGCATCGCCCGAATCATGACATTCATCGTCAGCATCATCAACATCATCATCGACATCATCATCACCAACACCATCATCAGCATCAACATCACCACCATCATCACCATCATCATCATCATCATCTCCATCATCGTCATCAACATCATCATCATCATCATCATCATCATCATCATCATCATCATCATCATCATCATCATCATCATCATCATCATCATCATCATCATCATCATCATCATCATCATCATCATCATCATCATCATCATCATCATCATCATCCTACTCATCCTCCTGCCTCCTGCTGCTCATCCTCTTCCTCCTCCCTCCCCCCTCCTCCCTCCTCCTCGTCGTCTTCCTCCTCCTCCTCCTCCCCCTTCTCCTCCTCCTCCCCCTTCTCCTCCTCCTCCTCCTCCTCCTCCTTGTTCCCTCCTCCTCCTCCTCCTCCTCCTTCTCTGACTCCTCTTCGTAATCATCACGGACGTTGTCTGGTAAAGAAATGCGCGCTGGCTGTCTGGTAAAGCTGTCTGGTACGGAAATGCGTGCGGCTGTCTGGTAAGGAATTGCACGCCGGCTTTCTGGTAAGGAAACGCCTGCCTGCTCTCCACAATGTCCGCTGGCTGTCCGACGACTGCCTGGTAAAGAAATGCATGCGACTGTCTGGTAGGGAATTGCGTGTCAGCTGTCTGACTGTCTGGTCGGGAGGCATAAAGCTTGGCTTGACCCCCCCCCCTCTCCAAAGTTGACGCAGAACCTGACCTGACCTGGGGCAGACGCTGGCGATCCACGCGCCCTCAACTTTGGAGGGGGGGGGGGCGGAAGTTGCGCATCTCGACTTGGGCGGCAAGGGCAGAAGGAGGAGGAGGAGGAGGAGGAGGAGGAGGAGGAGGAGGAGACGGCGGAGGACCAGTGCAAACCCAAGACGTATCAATGATATTGCAATACACCCTATACACCTTCCCTTCAGGGTTCCTCTTCATAGGCCCCTACAAAGGGCCATCTTGACTGGGAAAAACTACCCAGTTGGAAGACGACCGTCCTGGGATGCCAGCGCCACGAATCACAGTCACTATTGCGATTCGGCGATCCTGCATCGTGTCAGAACACCACTTGTGGGACTCAAACGTACAAGAGGAATTCTGGACGCTTCGCGCATCCCCGCCAGTGAGACACCTGGTGTGTGTGTGTGTCGGCGCTAGGGCACAGGGGCAGCGCCATGCGACAGTCTGGGTTGGCTGGCCACCTCGGCTTCACTGCAGCAGGACCCCCCTGGCAGGCAGCGCA